TGGAAGCTGGTGTTGGAAGAAGGGTCCGTGTCAGAATGATGTGACAGGAGAAAGTTTCAACTGACCATTGATGGCTTTCAAGATGGAAGGGGCCATGTGCCAAGGAATGCAGTAGCCTCTAACATAGTTCTGCCAACATCTTGATTTTAGTCCAGTGAGATCTATATTGGACATCTAATTGTGAAATAATAAATGTATGCTATTTTAAGCCTCTTAGGAATATGTTAATTTGTTACATCAACAATAGAAAACTAATACAGCGTAAAAGAAAGTACACAAGTAACTAAACAAGATACTTACAGACTGTGATGGATGCTTTGAAGGAAACAAATAGGATGATGTGAAAGAGTAAAGGATAGAGCATGTTAGTTTAGATGGTCATGGAAGTCTTCTTTGGAACTATGACCCTAGAGTGGAAAAGAAAGAGCCAGCCTTGTGGAGTTGGAAACAGAGCATCCCAGGCAGAGGGAGAGGCAAGTGCAAGGGCATGGAGTAGAGAAGGCTTGCCTTTTACAAAGAACAAACAGGTCATTTAGTGAGAATGAATAGAATAGTGGAAAAGGTGCAGGCCCAAAAATATGGAGCCTTGCAGGAATGATGGAACAATAGCCATTGGAAGGTTTTAAGAAGCAGAGTGATACATTTTGCTTTATGTTTTTGAAAGATCACCCTGGCTGCTATGTGATAAATAGAGACAAGAGACCAATGACATGAGTATTGTAGTCCAGAGGAGGAAACAAACTAGTGGCATTGATTCCTGGAGAGGAATGTTGATGATGGACAGGATATGAGTTCCAAAACATGAGTAGGAATTTGGTCCTAGAGAAGAAGAATGCATAGCAGAAGCATGAAAGTTCACGGATGTCTGGGAAATGGAATGCACTTTGCAGAATAGTAGCAAGTGAAGATGAAGAGATCGTTTAAACCATTAGGTATGCAGTTAGGAGACCCTTATTTGCCGTGGATGAGAGTTTGGAATTTATGGCATAAGCAATTGGAAAGCCATCAGAAATTTCTTATTAAGATAACATAACAATATCTGACCTGAGGGTTTGTGGTTATTATGTATGTCTTCCATTTTCACTCTGAAGTAAAGGAGAATAATAAGGGTACTTTCAGTTTTATCATCTTAGATTCTGAGACGTTCAGAAAGATTTGATTAAGTACTTGTCAATGAAGTCTTTAATAATTCATTGGGAACCTCACTTTTATCCGGTTTCGGTGTTTTGGGTTTTTTTTGTAAGGATTTTCTTTTCATTTATGGGTTCTACTCTCCTGCTGTCTTTGGAGAGACAGTACAGTAACCTGTTCAGAGCATGGACTCCAGCGCCCCATGGCCTCGTGTACCATCCTGGCTACTGGTACCAACTGGTCAACCTTTAGCAAGTTATATAACCTCTCTAAGTCTCAGTTTCATTGCTATAAAATAAAAATAATAATAACTCTTACCTGAAGTGCCTCCTGTAAATATTAACTGACTCAGTGCATGTAAAGCACTGAATATGTGATAAGCACTTTCTGGGTCACGGTTTGGAACAGGGTGCAGAAGTAAACAAGGAACATTGGTTGTAAGCTTTTCTATTGATAAGCAATAGAAATGTGACAGGTTATAACTTCTTTAAAGTACTTTTAAAATGCCCATTTCCCAGTTCCTTTTCATATCTGGTGTTAAATTTGCTATTTATTTGTTTTTTTCCCAGAATGTCCACTTCTTTCATCACAGAGCCCACTTGCTCTCCAACAAAAAAGATGATGTAAGAAAATGATTAGTTACTTTGCATGGTCTTCTGGTTTATTGGATATTATTTATTTTCTGGAATAAGTTATGTCCAGAGAGGCTTATAATTTACAGTGCTACTCGGGTAACTCAGGTAAAACAAAACATGAGGAATTTTTTGGTATAACAGTTAAAATTCATTTAACTTTCCAACTTTTCAAATATTTCATATTTCCAAATATTTCATTTAACCTCTCGAATATTTCATATTTCTAAATTACATATATTTGATTTCCAGTATATTTCAAATAAAAAAGAAACAAAATACTCAATTTGGCCTCTGTGGCACATTAGCAAGGCATAAAAGAGAGATTAACATAATTATGTAAGGACTCTTACAGTATTTATTTTCTATATCACTTTTAATTTGGCATTTAATTATGTACTGTGGCATTTCTCGATATAATTCGTGTATGTTACTCATATTTGTAAAGATGACATATCTCAGAGGTGGAAACTATAGATATTAAATGTCTTAATTTTCCTGTCTTCTGAAGCACTTAAGTCAGAGCTTAATAAGCTTTACTTAGATTACTGTATGTTTTCACTCCCCTGGAAGTAAGGGAGAATCTATACTCAAACTACATCCTGGGGGTTCATGATCTTTTTCTCTTCCCTTTACCTATGATTTCTCTTCCCATGGTCAGAAGTTTTAAATTACACATACAGCATTACTAGTTTAAAGGAATCTTTCTTCATCTTATTTTCACAACCAGTTCTGCTACTAATCAATGAGCCTCAAATCCAGTCAAAGCAAAATTACCTCCTGGGATTAGTAAATGACAAATTATTTCTTAAAATTTTTTCATAAAATGAGAAAAACAGAATCATGCTAACTCCTGTGGTTGAAACTATTTAAATATTTGACTGTATGTGTGGGTATATATGAGATACTATAACCTGTACTTTGGGGGTGCTTATTGTCCTTGACAAGTAAAAGTGTATACTCTCCACAAGGGCTTCCTCCTGGTGTCCGTGCGGTATGAGGGCAGCTTCCCTCAGCACGAACTGAAAGGAGAAGTCACTTGTCCTCATGTTCAGCAAGTATTACCTTCCTTTCCTTTTATATAATGTTATGTAGCCATGAATAGGAAAGGTAAATGTTTTTCATACTTTAAAATAGACTGCTGTCTTTCAAAAGAAGAAAACAGAGCTTATTATTATTTCATAAAACCATAAAATAAAAATCATTTTCTTTTCAAAATGCATGATGTTTATTTGCAGCATAGTATTCATCAACTAATAAATGTTCTTTTTACCTTTCATTATTCTTTAAATTATATTTCAGTATCCTGATTACTGTTTTTAATTATACTTCCTATTCACTGTAATACCAAATTTAAAGAACATGAAAATGTTAAGCAAGAGAGCTGGGTGCAGTGGCACATACCAGTCAGTAATCCTAACACTTTGGGATGCCAGGCCGGAGGATTGCTTGGGGCCAGGAGCTCAAGACCACCATAGGTCTTTAAATTACCTGGATGTGGTGGCACAGGCCTTTAGTCCCAGCTACTTGAGAGGTTGAGGCAGAAGGATCACTTGAAGCTAGCAGTACACACACAGCTGCAGTGAGCTATGATCATGCCACCGCACTCCAGCCTGGGTGACACTGAGACCCCATGTCTAAAGTATGCATATACATATATACATACATAGAAATACATATACATATGTATATACATATATACATGGAGAGCAAGCAAATATCTTGCCCAATCTCAGTTTAGTTTTCTAAAGTTTGCCACTAGCAACAGTATGCTGAAAATCATGTGACTTTTCTTTGCAAATTTAAAATATATCTTTAAATTTTTTAAGTAATATAAACATTCAAATACTATAAAAGGAATAAGGCAGAAAAACAAGTCACTCATTTAGTACCTCATTTCCTAATTTGTATAGTCTTCTAGACATTGTGGATTGATGTTAAGGTACATGTATAGTATGGATATTATACTGCATTTACTGTATTTTCTGCAAGAATGGAATCAAACTATTTTGGGAAACTCTCTATATCAGTACCAAACAATATGTCTTAGTGACTATTAAGGTTTTTTTTAATTTTTTATTTGAAAACAAGTTTTCAAATAAACATACATATGCATATTTGCATACCTGTGTTAATTTGTAGGGTGCTAAGAAATTGTTACATCAACAGGTAAACATTTTAAATTTTGATAAAAATTTTCAAATTAGCACAGCATATAAGCTTGTACTCTTTTATTTAACCCTTGCATATGCCAGGTGTTATTGGGGCCTTTTCTGCCAATTTACTAAGCATCATTTATTTAAGGATTACCAGTGTTCTAGATGCAAGGGAACAGCGGTGATCAAAATAGAAAAACTTCCTGCCCAAATGAAACTTACATTGTAGTGGAGTAGACAATCAGTGAAGAAAATGTTATGGCAATTGGTGATAAGTATTTTTAAAAGAAATAAATTGAGAGAGTAGGGTCTGCAATGGGGATGGTGGTGGTGTTTAAATAGGGCTGTCATAGGAGACCTCCCTGAGATGAACTTGGGCGGTGTATAAAGAATATTCCAGTAGAGTGATATGAAGCACAAAAGCCTGGAAGCAAGAGTCTAGTGTACTTGGAATGCAGTGAGCCAAGGGTAAAGTAGAAGACAAAAATCTGAGAGATGACAGATGAGGAAAGTCAGCCCATGAAGGGCGGTGGATTACAGTGAACAGGATGGGAAGCCATTAGATGGTTTGACAAGATTCCATTGACGCTTTAAGTTTCCTTTGCTGCGTTGAAAACACACTACAACAAGACAAAGGTGGCAGCAGGGAGACCAGACAGGAGCCAGTGACAGTATTCTAAGTGAGAGATGATGGTACCACTAGGTAGTTGGTGTCAGGGAATTGGTAGTGAGTGGTCAGATCTTGAATATATTTTTAAAGGTATTTCCTTCCAGATTAGATGCATGGGATTTGAGAGAAAAAAAGGAGTCAAAACTGTCACTGAGACTTTTGGCCTGAACAACTGGAGGAATGGAATTACCATTTACCGAAATAGCGAAGTCTGAGAGACCAGGAATTAGATTTGGATATGGTAAAAATTTTTCCATTAGAAATCCAAGAGGATGGAGACTGGGAAGGAGAAGGCATCAAGCCCAGGCGGTGGTGGAAAGGTGACGGGGTATCTGGATTCCCTAACTTTTTCCTTTTCCTGTTACTGGGTAGAGTCCCTTCGCAGCTTGGGGCTGGAGGACACACCTAAACATGTGGAGCCCCAGTGCCGGGCAGCCAGGGCCAAATCCATATCCCCCCAACATCAGGTACCCTGGAGGTTCCAGTCCTGCCCACCTACCACCTGTCAATCCACCCTTTCCTCCTCTCCCAGGAGTTCCACAGTGCAACCCAGCTTTCCCCTAGGTGGGCCCCTCCTCCTGTGCCACAGCCAGGGTATCCAGGATGTCAGCCCTCAGGTCCCTACCCTGTTCCATACCCACTTCTTGCACCTGGAATGCCTCCTGTGAATCCCTTGGCTCCTGGCATGGTCAGAGCAGCAGTGATAGTGGACAAGAAGATGCAGAAGAAAACTCATAAAAAGATGCACAAGCACCACACGCGTGGCAAGCATTCCTTCTCTTCTTCCTCCTCCTCTTCCAGCAGTGACTGACGGAATACAGGCCCTGGACTCTTCCCTCAAGTCTCACCAGTTCCGTTCTCCCATCAAGCTTCAGAAGCCATGGTGTACTGGGGGAAAGTAGCCCTTGTGCTCCCCACCCCTACCCCAACCTGAGCCTCACCCTACTGTTCAGCCTTGAGTGGCTAGGAAAATGGGTAGAGGATTGCCATGGCATGGCCGTCTTCTTTCTGCTTGGTTATATCATATAGCTAATGAGTTTAGCAGGGGAGCTATTTTTTGAAGATGATGAACTAAATGTTGAAGACAAGTTTGAGACTTGTAAAATGTGATTTTTACTTCCTCTTATAATACTTCTGATTCGGGAGGTTTGTGGAAATTTATGATGAAAAACCTCTATCTTTTTTGTAATGTTGGCATACTTGGGGAATTTAGTGGCAAATACATTCCCCAGCAGGCCTTTTGTTGGTTGCACATAGCTGCAAGGTTTCTGGGAAGTAGAAAAAAAAGAAATCGAAAAGGAGATATCAAGTAGAAAATATGGTATGTAAGTGTGGGATTCATAGAAGAAGTTGGGCTGGGATAAAAAAAAAAAACTGGGAGTCAAGAAACGGTATTTAGAGTCGTGAGACAGATTAAGGAAGAGTGGAAGAAAGAAACAGAAAAGAAGCAGTTGGTGGGTTAAGAGGAAAACTGATAGAGTCAAGAGAAGAGATCGTTTTGAAAAGGAGAGAGTAATGGATTATGTCAAATGCTGCTAGAAGATCAAGTCAAATGAGGACTGATAATTGTCCTTGGATTTAGCAGTGCTCACAGTCATGACAAGAACAGTTTTGGTGGAGTGTTGTAATTGGAGTAATTTAAGAAGAAATAGGAAGAAACAAATTAGACACACATGTAGACAACTTTTTCAAAAAGCTTTGAAGTATAGAGGGACTGAAGTATAGAGTCAGGAATGGTGGCTTAATCAAGGTAACATGTTAGCCAGAATAGAAATTTTGAAGCCAGAGAGAGCAAGAAAGTTGAGAGTGTATGTGAGAAATGATTATAAAAATATAGGATTAAAATGGTTATTTCTTCTGTTACTGAGGTTAAGCATTGTCTCTTGACTTGATTTTTTTCTGTGTATAGTTACAGGTTTCATGTCATGCTTATAACAGCCTTCCTTATTCCAGGATTGTGAAAGAATTTGTCTATATTTTCTTGTGATATGTTTATGGTTTCAGTTTTTTCCTAAGTTAAAGTCTTTGATTCATGTGGGTTTCGTTTTGGTGAAAGTCATGGAGTGGGGATCTGATTTTTTTTTCCAAATGATTTTTATTAAATAATGCCTTTCTCCCCACTAATTTGCAGGACTGCTATTTGTTTGGGATCTATTTTGGATTATGTTCAAATCCATTGTCTGCCCATCCTTGTAATAGTACAAATCTGTTTTCATTTCTGTAGCCTCAAGATAAAGTTTACTCTCTGGTATGTCTAGTTCATGTTTTCCTACCACCACCATTACTATTATTTTTCCAAATTTTCCTGAATATTTTAATGTGTTTATTTTCCCAGATAAGAATACCACCAGTTTGTGTCAAGCATATATGTGCAGTATTACTAAGTGTTTCACATATATATTTATTTTCATCATTGTGACAACCATGTCAGGGATATGTTGTTATTATTTCAATTTTGGCAATGAGGAAACTGAGACATTAGAAGAAGATATAACATGCCCAAGGTGACAAGGCTGGTAAGCAGTGAAGCTGTGATTTGAGCCAGGCAGTCAGGTTCCAGAGACTATGCTTCTGCTTCTCTATGTATACTGTAGAGTTACTACTCTAAGTCATTTAGATTTAGAATACAAGATACCATGTGTAGCATTTGGATCGAAATTGCATTGAATTTATAGAAAATTTTAGGTAGAATTGACATATTTATGATACATATCATTCTATCTAAAACCAAGATACAGCTTTTCATTTATTCAAATCTTTGATGACTTTTACACAGAATGCTAGTTTTCTTCATGTAAATCCTCCATGTTTTAAGCTTTTTCCTTCTTGTGTTTCATTTGTGTTGCTATTAATAGAATTTTTCCTCTTCTGTGTTTTAGCTGGTTATTATTGATGTATTGGAAAACTTTTGATTTTTTTTTTGGTTGGAAAGTTTTTTTCTTTTAAATTTGTAATTAACCATTTACCAAATTTTCTTACTACTAATAGTTTTTTCATTGATTTTTCATGAATTTTTCTAGAATTGTTATTCTGCAAATAATTTTGCTTCTCCTTTCTAATATTTATACTTTTTATTTTATTTTTAAAAATTGGTTTATGCTTTTAAAACATTGTTAACTAATAATGAAACTAAGCATCTTTATCTTATAAATGCCTCTGATTCATAATAATTTATTATGACACTAACTTCAGTTTTGCTTTCATGCAAAAGTATCAGTAAGGGAATGGTGAATTTTTTTCAAATGCCTTTCTGCATCTACAGATGTCATTGGTTCTCCTTTTTATGTTAATATGAATATGGTAAATGCTCATGTATTTTCTAATGTTAAGTAATTTTTGCTTCGTTCTTTTAATTTAATATTTTATTTAGGACTGTTGCATATTTTATTTAGGACTGAGTGTGTGTGGGTGAGTATATGTGTGTGCCCGTGTGTATGTGTGTCCATGCCTGCATGTGTGCGCACATGCATGTGTATTCTTTCTCAGATTTTAGTTAACTATGATGTTGACTTCCTAGAATTTAGACTTTTCATTTTCCTCTCTCCTTAAAAAGTTACAAAATTAACCGTCCTTTAAAGATAAGAAATTTACCTGAGAAATTATCTGGCAGTTTGGGGTAGTTAACTAGTATCTTCCTAAATTTATTCTATGATGTGTCTGCCTATGTCTCATAAATAATTTTCCAAGTTGTATAATACAGTGATGATCATTTACATTTTCCTAGAAAGGCTTTCATCTAGGTTTTCAAATTTATTTTTTTAGGTTTGTATAAAATATTTATAATGCAATTTTCCTAAATTTCTTCATAGTTGTAGTTAATTTAACTCCATTTGCATTTTGATATTGAACCTTCATGCTGCTTAGTTTTTCTCTAGGATTAAGTGGGGTGGCTATTTATCTTTTTTTTTTTTAATCTTTAAAGTTTGGGCTTTTGGACAGATATATCAATTACATGGCTCCTCTATTTTTTGACTCAGTACTTTCTGCATTTTTATTTTTGATTTTGTCTTTACACTTTCCTTAGATTTTGTCATACTACCTATCTTCCAATAAGAAACAGTTTCTATGAATTAAAAAGCATCCTTTTATAAATGCAGACTTTACTTAACGAAGGAAATATTAGTTATATGTAATTTAGTGTGAATTATTTTAATCCAAATGCTTTTTTCAACACACAAAGGAATCATCTTTTCTTGGGATTGAATTTAATTTAATCTCCTGAGGACTTGCTTTTTCACTGTTTCATCTGTGAGTTGTACACTGACTGAAATTAGCTCATTGAGTGGATGGGAGTTTAGATGTGGCAAGAAAAGGGGAAGGTAATTTGGGAGGATGGCTCTTATTGAGGGCAGAGAGATACGGGATCTGTGGAGGGAGAGAGGCCAGAACAAGAACTGAGAGAGGAACAACTATGAATCCTTAGTAACTTTTATGTAATGAGAGACAGGAGAAAATAAGAACTAGGATTCTGTGAGCAATGAAAAACCTTTCCCTGAATTTGCCTATCAGTTTTCATTCTATTAATAGTATGTATCTGAAGATATTAAAAACCACCAACCCTTTTGCAGGAGTAAAGTTTAGAATAATTGACTTTTATTGGAGTTATGGGTTTTTTCTTTGTTTTTTTTGGTTTTTTGCAGAGAGGTGATTTTATTTAGGTAGAGAAAAGAGAAGGAAAGGAGAAGAGAAAAGCTTCCACGAAGAGTGTATAAGGGATTCCAGAGGGGAAATCCGGGAGGGAGCTCCCACCATGTGGGAGGGGATTCCAGAAAGTTGGAAATCCTGGAGTTATGTTTTAAAATGTATTTTGAAAATAAAAAAGTGTTTATGAAGATTTTACCTAGAGAAGGATTTTAAAACTTCACCCAAAACTTACTGAATCATTAGAATTAGTAAAATCTCACATGTTCATGGTACTTGGGGCACTCTAAAACCATTATGATACCTATTTTTAAGAGTATTTAAAATTAGATAATATATACATTGTACATTATATAACATTAAATTTGTATATTACATTATATCCTTCATTATACAGTAAAATACATATAGATAGTAAGCTAATATTATCAGTTCGATCAAAAGCCAGAATAACAAAAATTTACAGTACATGCTTAGTATTTATAGATAACTTAAGCTCCTCTTTCCTGGAGTAACATTATATGCAGAAGTTTTTTCTGATCCTTTGAATTATCATATGAACTCTCCTTTACATTTTGTGTGCCTGTTTGCCTGGTCTGATTATGACTGCAGTCTGGTTTTCATTTTCCTGAATTATTGCTAACACTTAAGCATATTGACTTGTTTCTTCATTGAGAAAAGTAAGAAGTGTGGTCCCATATTCAATTCAGCAAATAATTCTATACCTACTGTACCTACTATGTGAAAGGTAGTATGCCAGAGACCGTATGCAGGATAGAGAGAGCGCGCGCGCGAGAGAGAGAGAGAGAGAGACAGAGAGAGAGAGAGAGAGAGAGAGAGAGAGAGAGAGAGAGAGCGCGAGTGTGTGTGTGTGTGGGTGTTGTGTTATTTTAGTCCCAATCAATGTTAAAGAACAATGGAAATACTTGGTCAGTGTCTCCACCTGTATCTTCATATTTCTCAGCATTCATGCCTAAATTTGTAGTGTTCTCAGCATTGTGCTAACAGGTAAAATATTCTACTTAATATGAGTATAATCTGTTGGCTCTGTAGAACACAACTCAAGAGTGTATGTGTTTTTCTAGGTGTTTCTTAAATTATGACAGTATGCTAATTTGATATATGAACCAGTTTGTTAAAAGCAATCTGTTAGTTTTTAAGGATCAGTCT